TTTAGAGGTTGTGTTCATGTTTTGTGATTGCCTGTTAGGGTGTGACCTGCGAAGGAACATGGTGCTGTGACATTCTTCTCCCTTCTCAATGGTGTCCAGGATTGTTGTGATGGTGGTCACCGCAAGGACATGGGTTGTCCCCCCTTCCCGTGTAGTGGGTATAGTTACGGCCAGCCTAAACCCGGGTTGCTGCCCCCATGCCCACTCACCTTTCTGTGGATGCAGAAAGGACGATGGCAGGTTTCCCGGCCTGAGCCATCGGGCCTAAAGTCCTGCTTTCCTGGGCACTTGCTGTACCGAGTAAAAATAAAAAATAAAAAATAAAAAACAAAAAATTTCAAAACTCAAAAAATGAAAAAACTTTCATAATTCTCTTTAACAAAAACATGTCACCGCTTCCTTCTCTTCGTTCACGGGGCCACAATCCCCCTTTCTCTAACCGGCAACGCGTTGACTGGCTTGCCCATTATCGCTGGAATACTGATTTGTATTCCGGGGGAACGTGGCATAAAAAGCAATTGCGCTGTCTACATACTGTTACCGCAACTGAGCGCTTTGAACTACAGCTGAGAGGTATCGACCAGCAGCTGCTCCARCCAGGCAATGATCYKCTTTCTGTTACTGGAGTTGTTTATGCTGTTGTGCATATACCCTCTGGGCGTCTCTATGTTGGCCAGACAATCCATACTGCTCATCAACGTTTGAAGGAGCACTGGCATGTGCGACATACTGCTGTTGATTATCGTCATCGGCACCTCTATCACGTCATGCGAYAACAGTCTCCCTTCAATTTTGCTGTTTGGCCGCTTGAATGTATTGAGCTCTACATTACTGATCGCGGTGAGATTGATCATGCCCTCTTTCGGCTTGCGGCGTCACCTAGAGAGGGTTTCTGGGTCCGACGACTGCGAACCTTGCACCCTTCGGGCTTCAATGCAGTTTTGCCCATGTCTCGATTACCGCCTCCTCGACGGCAGCCACGCTCCGATCGCTGGCGGCAAATTGGTCCTTCCTCTGCTGCTTCTCATCATTGTGCCGTTTCTCCTCACCCGTCTCCAACTGGCGTCTCCTCTCGGGCCTTCACCATTGATATTAGCCCGGGCCCTCAACTAGCAGTACGAACAACGTTACGGCGGTTATTGACATTAGGCGCAGCGGGTTCTTGGTCCGAAGTTGTTGCTTCCATTCAGCAGGCTAGGCCCGCTTGGCGAGCTCGCCTGCTGCAATGGCTGTATATAAATGTTTCTAATGCAGACATGACTGCGGACGTCCGTGAACTTGAATGCCTTATTCGGCGATTTCAACACGTCCGACAACGATATACTGCTCATTCCCGTGACACCTTCGGAAACTTCATCAGGATTGTGCATATGCATGAGATCCTGAAGGCTACTAAGTTGCGCCATGTGTTGCATTCTCCGGATGTGTGTGCATTACACCCCGACCCCCAGGCAGCTAGCAGCATTCGCATCTGTGACAAACTCGTGCCCCCAACAMGGGTACAATTCTGTAATTTTACAGAAGTGGCCTTGAGTGTCACTCCGGACCTGTGCCTACCTGCTGCTGMTGATTGCCCTTGTCGTCGGGCGTTTCCTAACTGCACCGATCTGGTTGACGGCCATGTTGTTTCCACCAACTATGATCTAATTCCGGATGCTAACCTTTGTCGCCTGTTCTATGAGGGCTCAAAATATCGGCTGAATGGGGTAGTGGGAGATATGCTGGAAGCATTGGCTGTTGGTATTGATGAGTATATTGCTGCGTATCTTCGTCCGACAGCACGACAATCCTGTGCTGCTACCCTAGCCCCACAATTGGCTAATTGGCGTGCTGCAGTCTTGCGTCACTGTGAGTGCAACATGACTACCGCGTCACCATTGCGACAGCCTCGCTCTTTGCTGCACGCGCATACGGCCCTGCGTCAGCTTCAAGAATCCTTTGCGATTGTTCCTGTGGACAAAACATCACATAATTTGGCTATTTGCTGTAAAAATTGGTACAAATTCAAACTGTCAAGCCACTTTGACAGTCCTACGTATTCTCGGCCTGCTGAATAAGTGGCTGACATTCTGAATAGCCATGCAGTTTGGAACAATCATTGGAATTATCCTCATGCTGACACATTGCCGTATCTCTATTGTGTTCTTAAGGCCCATAAATCTCCTCCCACACTCCGTCCTATTCTTGGTATCACTGCCCGAAACAATCTTTCTTCTTCCTCTTCCCATACGGCCCGGCGGAGTGACCTGCACCCTTCCCAACGAGTCCAGCGTTTGCATCACCGACCGCCTCACAAGCCGATAGCTAGTACAACGTCTACTTCGGCTCGTTTGAGTACAGCACTTCAAGGCGTCATCCGTACTCTTCGCAAAAAAGATAATCAACTCTTTCGAACCGAAGGTATTCGASRATGTTGRATTGTTCAGAGCAGTGACGAGGTCATGCTTGACCTCAAAAAGAATAAAGCTTCTCTTAGAGGTCTGGCCCCGCATACAGTTGATTTCACTACTATGTATACTAATCTTTCTCATCAACGAATTCTTGACAATGTTGCTAATGCCGTTGATGAGGCGCATGCCTACGCTCTTGCACAGGTACGGCAGCATACACAGACAAGCTCATTGGGTGTTGCTCTTCGTATGCTGGTCCGTGGACCCCGTGCAGGGGAATGGACTACGGATACGGGACCTGACACTCTTTCTGTTTCTGACATTCTTCAACATCTTCGGTTTATTGTTACAAATACATATTTGTATACAGCGGATGGCCTTGTTCGTCATCAAGATGTCGGTATCCCTATGGGTACAAACGCTGGTCCTGAGATTGCCAATCTTACACTCTATTGGGATGAGGCGCAGTACGTGGACAACCTGCAGCGTGTGGATCCCGCTGCTGCTCGCCGATATGCTTTTACATATCGGTTCATTGATGATGTTCTTACCTTTGATTGTCTGCCACCATCATCAGCCCATTATGGTCTTGAATGGAAGGAGA